TTTTAGTAAGAGTTTTTGTAAAGAGATTTTATTTTAGTTAGAGTTTTTGTAAAGAGATTTTATTTTAGTAAGAGTTTTTGTAAAGAGATTTTATTTTAGTTAGAGTTTTTGTAAAGAGATTTTATTTTAGTAAGAGTTTTTGTAAAGAGATTTTATTTTAGTTAGAGTTTTACTACAGTTGGGACGACACAAACAGGACGTTTAGTTTTAGTAACAATTTTACGGCACTTGCAACACGACAAGGTCAAATAAGTGCCGAAGATTAGAGGTGTTGCAAGAGAGTAACAAACACAAAAAAGGAGGAGGAAGAGAGGTAACGACGATAGATGTTTGATGGAAAAGAAGGAGAAAAACCACACCACAGCACTCGCCAACCACCCACAAGAAGGAAGTTAAAAACACCACAAAGAAGTGGAAGAAGCAGACAACATCGACTTCATTTGCGTATAAGAAAAGTGAAATGACACGTCAACGGTTAATGTAGTGCTGGGGAAGTGTTCGAAAGAAATATGTGAGGCGTGCCGACAAAATGAGTCACATCGCGCACTTCACGAATGGAAATCTCGTCTGAAAATAGACACATCACGTTTGTAGATTTTTAACTGATGCGAATTTCTTCTTCGAGTTTAACATTCTTTTACCACTTCGTATAATAAACTGTTTACACTGAACCTACCCCATCAGGACAGTGCTATACTGACTGAAGTGTCTTTAGGCCATTCCCAGAGAGGAGGATATTAACATGTTCTTATGTACAGTAGGATTGTAAAAGGGCTGATTTGATGATTTATCAATGCCATGCTCATACTGTGCCGGGAGAACATAGGGGGGACTGCTGCTTTTTCTTTCCTCATCCTTACTATCGTCATTTTTCCTCTACTTCTTTTGTATGTTTGTCACTCTCTTGAGAACTGCTAGCTCCAGGGTGCCTTGATAGTCGAAGCAGACTTTGTGTTGTTGAGGCTAGAGAGTTGAGCAGAGTAAGTCTGATTCCCCGTTTGGACTTCTCTGTTGACATCCACCCCTTGGCGCTCATAGGACCCTATGCAGTTGCGGGCCCCGTAAAACCGTACTTAAACTCAACCTATATATCTACATCCATACGACTAAAGTCCGAAAATTACTTAATTTTGTCAACACACCTCACAGTTAGTAAGTGCTGGGAAAATGTTAGAAAGACACGATAGTTTGTTCTCGTAAGCATTTACTTACATAACTTATGTCACTTGCATCACAATAAGGTTATATGACATATAAGTGCTGAAGATTAGTGAACGGTTACAAGAGAGTAACAAACACCAAAAAAAAGGAGGAGATCGATGAAGGACGATAATTAATGTTTGATAGGGCAGAAGGAGCAAACCGTACCAGGGCGCCCGCTAACCACCCACGAAGAGAGATAGAGACAACAGATGGGTCACCGACTACAAACTACTAAAATAAATGTTTCTTTGTTTGCTTGTTTGTGTGTCTGTTTGTTTGTTTGTTTGAGTAAAGAGAAGCACATCGATACAACAATGGTCATTCAGTGCTGGGGAAAAAGTTAGACAAACACAGATGGACAGACAGACAGACAGACGGACAGACAGACAGACAGACACACAGACAGAAACACAGATGGACAGACGGACAGACAGACAGACAGACAGACAGACAGACAGACAGACAGACAGACAGACAGACAGACAGACAAGACAGACAGATACACAGACAGATACAAAGACAGACAGAACTGATAACAGAGGATAAGTAGAAAGACAGAACCCCTATCGATGGCACCCTTAGAGTAACAACCAACAGCTGACGATCTGAGAATGAGCAAGTCTTGAGAAGCACATCGCAGCAACAACGATCATGAGTACTTTAAATAGCGCAGCCGGGAAAAAGAAGACAGAGAGACAGAAACAACAAAAGGAAAGATAAAGACGTAGGACCAATTAGAAGCGCCCCCCAACCACCCACACCACCATCTACAAAACAAAATCTTTCTTTTTCTCTAAAAAAAATTGTTTTTTAATTTAAAAAGAAACATATACATTTTTAAAAAATATTTTTTAAAAGCCTCAAACTCCTTTTTAAAAGAACAAGCGTTGCCACTACAATGTATATCTACAGACTGAAGTGCGGCTCACGGTAAACAAGAGTCAGATACTGGCACAAACACGTAGGTCAGTAAGTGCCAGGCGGTACACTCTGAACGCACTCCCCGCACCCCATGCTAAGACATAATAGATGCAACCTATTTTTGTCAAGAAATAAGAGATGGTAAACCATGTTTGCCAAGACATAAGAGATGGTAAACTATGGTAAACTATGTTTGCCAAGACATAAGAGATGCAACCTATTTTTGCCAAGACATAAGAGATGGTAAACAATGTTTGCCAAGACATAAGAGAAGGTAAATTATGTTTGCCAAGACATAATAGATGGTAAACTATGTTTGCCAAGACATAATAGATGGTAAACTATTTTTGTCAAGACATAATAGATGCAACCTATGTTTGCCAAGACATAAGAGATGGTGAACTATGTTTGCCAAGACATAAGAGATGGTGAACTATGTTTGCCAAGACATAAGAGATGGTGAACTATGTTTGCCAAGACATAAGAGATGGTAAACTTTGTTTGCTATGACATAATAATAGATGCAACCATTGTTGGCCAAGACTAAAGAGATGCAACTACGACGTAATTCTTGCAACCTATTATTGCTACGACATAATAATAATAGTCGCAATGCATTTTTGCCAAGAAATAATAGATGCAACCTATTTCTGCTGACATAATAATAATAGATGCAACCTATTTCTGCTGACATAATAATAATAGATGCAACCTATTTCTGCTGACATAATAATAATAGATGCAACCTATTTCTGCTGACATAATAATAATAGATGCAACCTATTTCTGCTGACATAATAATAATAGATGCAACCTATTTTGCTGACATAATAATAATAGATGCAACCTATTTTTGCTGACATAATAATAATAGATGCAACCTATTTCTGCTGACATAATAATAATAGATGCAACCTATTTCTGCTGACATAATAATAATAGATGCAACGCAGTTTTTGCCAAGTAATAATAACTGCATCCTATTTTTGCAAAGACATAATAGATGCAACTTCTATTTTGCCCATACATATTAGTTGCAACCTATTCTTTGAAAAGACATAATATGTAACTTCTATTTGCCAATACAGAGTAAATGCAACCTATTTGCAACTTCTATTTTTGCCCATACATAATAGATGCAACCTATTTTTGCCCATACATAATAGATGCAACCTTTTCTTTGCCCAGACATAAAACATGCAATCTATCTTTGCCATTACATATTAGATGCAACCTATATTTGCCAATACATAACAGACATGACCTACATTTGTCAAGAGACAATCGATGCAACCTATTTTTGCTTAGACATTATAGAAGCAGCATATCATATTTGCCATGGATGCAGCCTATATTTGTCAATACATAATACAATTTGATGCAACCTATATTTGTCAATACAGAATACAATTTGATGCAACCTACATTTGTCAATACATAATACAATTTGATGCATCCTATATTTTCCAAGACCTGATACTTGCAACATATATTTTCCAAGACAATAAAATTAACATATAATATTTGTCAAAACACAGTAGATGCAACCTATTTTTGCTTTGACATGATAGAAGCAACATATATTTGCCATAGCATAATAGACGTAACGTATAATGGCCACGACCCAATAGAAAGGGTACAGGTTTAACGCCCCTATCAACACTATTGGGTTTATTTAAGAGGCGGAGGACACGATAGATGTAATCTATTTTCCCCAAGACATATAATAGACGTAATCTATTTTTGTCAAGACACAAAGATGTAATCTATTTTTGCCAAGACACAAAGATATAATCTATTTTTGTCAAGACACAAAAGATGTAATCTATTTTTGCCAAGACACAAAAGACGTAATCTATTTTTGTCAAGACACAAAGATGTAATCTATTTTTGCCAAGACACAAAGATGTAATCTATTTTTGTCAAGACACAAAGATGTAATCTATTTTTGCCAAGACACAAAGACGTAATCTATTTTTGCCAAGACAGATTAGATGCAACTTATTCTCTACTATGACATAATAAATGCGACCCACAACCGCCCAAAATCTGCTCCACGTACGGTCTGATGTGACATAAAATAGCCAATAGTCTGCTCCATGCAACGGCATAATCTCATTTTTAATGAGGTTTATATCAACATTTCTTC